AGCGCCACTGATTTGACTCTGGTTCCAGGCGACAACTTCTGTTGCCAGGCGCCATAGCCAAATCTTGGCGCCGACCTCTGTTTGCTGGCCCCAAGTTCTTCCAATACCGAGCCAGAAATATGCGTTCTAATTTTGGCCAGTTTTTAGCACTGTTTGCTTGATCCTACTTCCTGATTGAGTTTTTCTCACTTTTCTGAAACCCATATATGCAACAAAGGGTACATACGAGAGTGTTGAATTCACCAAACCATAGAAGCGAGTTTTTCTTAACTCGCGGTGTCCCATCCACTCGCGCCAACCCTTCAGGGTTAGGCTTCCTTGCGGTGCATCCGGACAATTAACCATGGAAACTCTTTCACTAACCCATATCCCGAACTTTAGAGAACTAGAGCCATGGGTAGTTTTCAAACTCATTGCATCATATTGTGACTACTTGTGCATCTCTTACTTGTGCATACTTATTATGTGACTAAGCTAACCGTTTGGTTTGACTTGTGCTTGTAAATAAGTCTTAATAAATTAATTAATGACTAAAGGACTTTTCTTAATTAATTAATTTGATCTAATAAATATGTCTAAAATTGAGTCATAGTCCCTTTAAGTTAACCCGGTTTTTTATTCCCGTATACTGCATAAGCGTCAACTTCTTTGGTCATAGCCGGAGTTGTAGGAAGAACTGTGAGTCGTACCACCTAGGATATGTAGCCCCGAGTTTTATCTTTAATTTGGCGTCGGTTTCATCCCAATCAGAGTCACAGATCAAAAGTTATGACTAAAATACCACAGCATGTCTAGTTTAATGCATATACGTGAGGTCTTAACTTAGTCTTTGTTCGAGTCTAGTCACATAGTCTAGCCACCTGGTCATGACACGAGTCTTAACATGTCACTTGCACTCACAATAAAGCACCCACTAATATGTATATACACCAGTACCATGACTTAGGTTCATGCATGAGTCGGTTCTTTCCGTCATTTAAGTTGGGGGTACAGTCTATTCCTAATTTCTTCATATCCCTCCATCTACATCATCTTTCTTCACATCACAACCTTCATTATTCCTACCTTCTTCCATATATGCATGTTGAATAGAGTTGAGTCAAATTATTAACAGTCAATATCCCTAATTTCCCTTTCCACAGTACTTGGTCAAGGAGAGAAGGGCGATTAATCAAGGACAACACCTTTGTTCAAGTCTTACTTTTTGATAAACCGATTCGTCATAAGAGGAAAGCTAAGAAGATAATGGCAACTCAAGAAGAAGTCAACGAACTTAGGAATCAATTGACTACCGCGACTGAGGCATTGAAGGCTTTAACCCTCAAAATCGATGACCCTATGAAGCAACAACAAATGGACCTTATGCAAGAAAGTTTGAGCAAACTATCTAGTGATTACAAGTTTCAGGGCATCAGTTCACAAGGGGTTTTTCTAGACAAGGAGCTTCTTCCGCAGAAGTTCAATGCCAACGACATCCCAAAATTTAAGGCAATAGATAACCCTTATCTTCACTTAAGAGCCTTTGTAACTATAATAAAGATTAAAGGGATTGATAAGAAAGTCTTTCATTCCTTGTTTTCCTTATCTCTTGAAACCGTTTGCCAACAATGGTTCTTCTCCCTTGACAAAGAGAAAACCTCTACCTGGGAATTGATAGTAAACGCTTTCATTGATGGATACAAGTGTAATATTCAAGTCGAAACCGATTATAGACAACTCGAGATGCTAAGACAAAAAGAGAATTAAGGCTCTACTTCTTTCTTCAATAAGTGGAGGGAAACTTCTGCTAAGATGATTGAGGTGCCCTCCGAAAAAAAATCTGTGATGATGTTCATCAAAAACTTAAAAGAAAAGTATTCAAAGCATTTAAAATATCAACATAATTTGAATACTTTCAAGGTCGTTTATGACATCGGAATCAAGATCGAAGACGACCTCGCAAATTAAAAAGCTACTAACAATAGTAACATCAGTGGCTGGAAAGGAAAGAAAAACCACAATCCTTCTTCTTCCGAAAATGCCCACTCTAGTAACAATTTTAGTACCTATGATCTCAGTGAAGTTTTAGCCGTGGATAACCAAAGACCTAAGAAGCAACTAAGGAAAGACTTCACCCCCATTGGGATGAGCTACATACGATACTGCTTTCGATCGACTCCATGCCAAGGGACTCATTATTCCCATTGGACCTATTCAAGATCTCGCACCTGAAAAGAGATAACCTAGTTGGAATCTAGACGCACATTGCAAATATCACCAAGGTAGGGGTCATGCTACTAAGAGTTGTTGGAAGCTAAAGGAGGCTATCAAACATTTGATCGATAATAAAAAGCTTCCCATGCCTCCAGCTAGCAAGAAGAGCGAGTAATGATGAAGCAAAAGACACAAGACAGAGGCGAGCTTCAACGACAAGATTTCGTGACTTCCTCTTTTCTATTTCTTTTATTTACCCTTTCCCCAATAAATCTAGCATAGGCCCCTTTTTATTCTCCTTAAATTTATTTTGTAGGATCATTATTTCTTCTCCTTTAATAAAATGAGCATTTATTTCCTTGCATATGATCATTGCATTGCTTTACATTAAAAAAAAAAAAAAATCCACGTCAAACTAAGCACAAGGTATACTAATGATTTGAGGCACCCCTTGTAGCCACATCATATCACCTTTCACCCTTCAAATATGCAATCCTTTTCTGATAAATCACTTTGAGCCTCATCTAACGATAGACCTTTCGTTTTTCAACCTACATCTACCTAACCTTGGGATGAGATGGTGTGTAACTTATGTAACTTCAAAAGCTTGAGTAAATTAAATAAATTAAATAAATAATAATAATAATAATAATAATAATAATAATAATAATAATAAAAGTGTACAAAAGGACAAGTGTTCCAATGTCTTTGACATGAACATGTCTTTGATATGAACACGTCTCAGATTGCGTCCCTTATCGAGTGCTCGGTACCGTGCCTGAGAAACATGAATGCCAAATAAGTGATAGACCGCATGATCGGGATTGCCCACGCTTATAAAAATAAAATAGATGCTAAAGCAAAAGAGAAAAGAGAGCTAAAAAAGAGTTAAAAGCCTCAAGCATAAAAATACAAAGATTCAAAAACAAAGTTGCACACCTTGGGGGCTTATCTAGGGTCTTGAGCCTTAATCCCTTTCTTCTTCAACCTTTATCCTAACCACGCTACAACCCTTAAAAAGACCTTTTTAAGGTATACACATACTTGTGCGAGGTTCGGCTAGAGCTACGTTCGGCCTGATTCCTAACGAATACGTAGGCAACCTCACATCGAGGTGCGGCCATAATAAACATGCATTCACATTTACATTCATAATTGATCATATCAAGAGATCCCCTATGCTCATCCCTATCTACTTAGAGCTAGACTTGGGGGCTTGATCCTTATATCATTAGCTTACCTAACCTAAAGAGTCACCATCATTTGACTCTTCTTGAAATAATATTTTCCCACACCCTTAGCCCATGCGGCCTAACTTTAGTATCACTTTCACACACCGCACAGATACATGACCAAATATACTTTCCCTTAGGAACCCTTTGTCATGAAATCTTAACATAACACTGAAGCATGCCTTGTCATGTCAAAATCGCTCATCACTCATCATTGCATCACAAAGTACGAAGTGCTTAGCCTCCGTGCCTAAGTTACCCAAATACTTTCATCATGGAGTCAACAATTGAGATAGCCTAGGATGAATTAATCCTTGCACAACATTTGACTAAGTTCATTCAACATGCACCTTCAAAAACTTCGCTTCTTTCTTTTTCGGGAGAAAGTCGGTACCCTCTATAAAAATGACGGAAAATTTTTGTTTTTTTTGCTTTTTTGCATTTTCGAGTCGCATGATCACAATACAACGCACACACGGGTCGTGAGTCACACGTGTCATTTCACTTCGAGTCGAGTCAACCTCGAGTCAATCACAGTGAGTCAAGTTCATACCTTGAGTCACGACAAGTTAATGAGTTAAGCAACACTAAGTCTTAGGTCAACCCTAAAGAAAGATAAGCAAAGTCCTATGGTCAAAGATATAAATACAGGTGCATCCCAACAAGCAAGAACATTCCCTGATTTTTTTAAAAAAATCGCGAATATGACCACATGAGATTCTTCCAAGATGAAAGGAGTTTGAGCAAAATTACATGGATCAGTAAATTATAGATGAAGAGCTTTAATTTACAAAAGATTTGAGCAGATTTGGTTAAACCAAGTTCAAAGTTCGCAGCGAAATCAAGCAACATCGGCAGTAAGAGCAAAAATAGAGAAGACCCGACTCCAGCACTAGACAACGACATCTAGCGTCTGGCAGCAGGTTTTGACGCCTGGCTCTAGATTCCAGCGTCTGGCGACAGAGTCAATTCTTGGCGCTAGAGATATTTCAGCAGCGACAGAGCTCGAAGCCTCTAAGGACGATTATTTCGACCTCGTACAATAATTTTGGGTTCCTTGGTACGCCAGTTAGCCCCTATAAGCAATTTGACATGATTAAGTAGTCGGCTTGATTACAATCGCAATAAGTGATCGACCTGATGAATGATCGTCTCACTTAGCTTAAAGCGCCTAAGCATTGGCTCAGCAAAGGGACCGACGTAATGGTCATAAGCAACAAAGGCACCAACATACTGGTTCAGAAGCACTGACATACAGGTTCACAATCCAAGACACCGACATACTGGTTTACAAGCAGCAGAAGCGCCGACGCACCGGCTAAAGCAAAGTTCAAGCGAGCTTTAAGGATCGACAAGCGTTAATCTTCGGTAGTTTACTTTGGAATCACTACAAGAAAATCCATTTATCGCAACAAATGTTTGGCAACAACATTGTAGTCGTTGCTGAAAATTTTATTAGCAACGATAATGTCGTTGCAGTTGGTAAATTTTCATTTCCCTCCACACCATGCCAACGCGTGAGATTGAATTAATTCACGGTCTATTTTTTACAACAACTTTTTTGGTTGCAATATATTGTATAAAATATAGCAACGACTTGCTTTGTTGTTAAATATTCAGTTAATATACCACAAGGACATCTTTGTAGCAAAAAATAAAAAAATAAAAAGGTAAAAATTTAAAAGATTGTACTGGTGGACTAGAAGCTTCTTTTTAGAGAATGTCTTACTTTACTAATCCCAATTGTAAAACCCTACCCTCATTCACGCGCCATTATTTTGCTTTCATCCCGCCACCGTTCTCGTTCTCCGGCAAAGTAATCTAGCCACTAATTCTCACCGCATCGCTGCAACTCTATCTTTCTATTGCATTATTAAGTAAAAATAATAAAAATTGAAGTCAAATAAACCAGTAGAAAGATGTGGGTGTCGATAATATTGAGGGTGTCGAACATTACTGGTGAATGTTCCTTCTAGCCGTTGCGTTTTCGGTTAGTATTCTGATTCTATTTAACAATTTTATTATTTTGTAAAGTTTGTGTGTATTTCTAACTATTTAGTGTGATTTGATTGAGTTTTCTTGACTTGAATTGACTCATTTTTAAAAAAAAAAATTGGATTTGTATTGTTGAGAATTAATTTTTGAATTTGTTCTATACTTGTGTTTTACTCGAGGTTTGGTGTTTGAGAATTACTTGTTCATGTTATAAATCTAGAATTTTTTAATTGTTATTGGAATGAAAAAGCTGTGATTTTGCCTCCTAAATTATAGAAACCCTTGGTCATTTAATAATATACGGAGTTATAGACCATTTCTCGGAAACCGATTGTTGAGCACTGACCACTTATGAAGAGAACCTCTTGGTTTGTATTGATGGAGTCGGATTTGGTTGTTATTGTTGCAAGTATTATGGTCTTTGTGCACTTTCTTTGTTTAGTTATCATTTTTATATTTGTTGGTTGCTACTCTGCTTGTACTTCACTACGGCAAACTTTTTTCTAAGTTTATTCGTTTCCTTAAAAAAAGGAGGTAAAGGAAGAGTTTAATTTTGATCATGTTAATTGTGGTAGATATATTATCGACCTCTTAGTCCTATTTAATTCAAAAGTTTGAGGTTCAAGAATGTCATATTGCAGACAACTCCAGGGAAAATTGAACAAGCTTAGTACCTCTTCTTAACTTATTTTGTAGTTTATATACATGTAGCCCCTCCAATTCTTTGTTTTATCTCGGCTTTCTAAAAATACTACATTTTAAATTTGGTCACTACAAGATATTTTTTTTTTATGCCCTTGACAATCCTCTATCTTTCTTTATCTTTCTTAGAGGTACAGAGTAAGCTAACCTCCTTTGCAGTATTTAATCTCAGGAACCAGTAATATTTGATCTCAAGTAGTAGCAGTTGACGAGGCTTAGTGTTTTGATCACGTACTTCATTGGTCAAAGAGATTGAAGTAGCATAATAGAAATTGATTACCTCTCTAATTGTAAAAGGTTAGTCTTTAATGCTAAATAAACTAAAGTTGTATGGTTAGTTAAAGTTTAAAGTATGATATGTTCATTTGGCTTTGAGAAATTTGTTACAAATTGTAATAAATTTGAGATCTGTTCTCTGATGATTCATATTGATTAATAAAGGGCCATATTGTAGGACCTCGCAACAAAGATGGAAAAGGTTTGGAATAAAATATTTAATTTCATAGCTTTGTTTCTATAATATGTTTTTTTATTCATAACAACACAAAAGCTCTCTAGTTTCATTATGCAAATTTGGTTTTATGTTTACTAACCAGGTGCTATAGGGAATCGAGAAAGCATAAGACTTCAGAATCAGAATCCAATTGAATGCAATTGCAATATCATGCGGCTCAAGGTGCCGAATCCTGCAAATCAACATCAAACTGACAAATTCTGTGAGACCACTCCTCGTGACCCTCCTACGTTGCATCAGGAAGAGCACATTAATATGGACATGGAAAATAATAATATGAACACTGATTTTGAATCCGGATTTTTTTCATCTAATGATGGTAATCTTTTTGTCATGTAATACTTGTACTTTTTGCCCTTTCCTTTTACAAGCAGAAGCTGACTAATTTACTTGATAATTTAAGTAATTATAATATTGCATGAACATGTTTTAGATGTTGGCGAACAACTTGGAAAGAGGAAAAGGATGAACAACTTAAATGCAAGGATATCAAAAGCTATTGTAGCAAATATTGTTGTGCATGACCCTGTCCAAAGAAGGGACGAGTTCAATGCAGAGAATGGTAGAACAGAAACTCTACAATGTGACAACCAAACAAGTTTATCACACTCAGTAGTCAATGAAGATCCTTCTCAAAATGGTGAAGGTAAAAAATTTTAAAAGTCAGCTGTATTCGGTTCTTTCTTTCTTTCTTTCTTTCATGTAATTGTTATTTGTGAATTATTTGGGTGTGCTACTTAGAATATATGATTTTCTAGAAGACCTACTAACCTTTTACAACTTTTTACTTGACCATTAAGCTACAAGCAAATTGAAAAAAAGAGGAGACAGAGGAAAGTACAAAAGTTTTGTTGTTGATATGAAGCTGAAAGGACAGAAATCTAAGCTGAAAGTTTTCATTCCGGATGACATTGATCGTGCAATTGGTGAAAATGCACGTCATTTAGTTAATGAATGTGGTCGTGTGGTGAGAACAAGGGCTCCTTTAAATGTAAAAAATTGGAAAGAAGCATTTGCAAAGGCTGGTGATGCAATGTGGAGAGAAATTCAGGTTTTTTTTCCCTATTAATATAGTGTGCTCTAAGATTACAAAATTTTTGACTTTTTAATCTCATTAAGTATTGGATGAATATTATTTCAGGATAAGTTTGAAATTAAGGAAGGTAGCTCTTACATTAAGATGCAAGCCTTTTCAATCGACTCTATGCAGCGCCTTTATAGGTTATACAAGACTCGATTGTACTATTATTACAAAAGTAAAGCTTGTGGACAGACTGAAGAAGAGCGATTAAAATTCCACCTCCAGACTTACCAAAAGAGCAATGGGAATACTGCGTAGCACGATTTGGGTCTGATGATTTCAAGGTTACATTTAAATATTTTTGTATATATTTTACTCTTATTTATTTAATAGGAAATCGTATAAATTTTACATAGGTTCTATATATATTGTTTAATTAGTTTTATCCTATTATTTATACAGAAAGTAAGTGAAAGAAATTCCAGAAATCGCTTGTCTAAGAATAGAACAACACAGACTACTGGAAACTTATCATTTGCTGATGTCGAAGATATTCTGGTAAAATATGTTTTGAACTAAAATATGCACTATAGTTTATGCTTCTGTAGCGGAAGTTTAGTGACTGTAAACATTAATCCATTTGTTTATGTTTTATTAGACTCAAGAAAACAATGGAGTTAAGCCACCTGCTGATGTTATTTGGCTTATGGAGCATACAAAAGAAAATGACGAGGGCGTTTTGGAGTGGGCTGATGAATCTCGTTCGAAGGAGATACATATATGTTAAAATTATAAAGTGACGATGTAATGTGTTGTGTTAGTTGTATGAATGTTAACATATTTTAACTTCAAATTTATGTTTTTGGTTAGGAACAATTAAAAGTTGTTGTTGCTGCACATGGTGAATCAAAGACTCAAGAAGAGATTCTTCTAGATGTTTTGAAACCAAGATCAGGGTACTTTCGTGGAAAGGGAACTGCCTTGCCTGGCTTCAGCAAAGGAAGACATCAATTAGAGCATCAAAGCTTAATACGTGAGCAGCAAAAGAAAATTCAGGAGCAACAAGAATTAATTAAGGAGTTGCAAGAGAATCAGGAAAGAACTACCAAACAATTAGAAGAGACTCAGGAAGCAACAGCAAAACAATTACAACAACAAAAGGAGGAGACACAACGTGCAATGAAGGAAGAATTACTCAGAGCACTTGGTAATAGAGTTGCAAGTTAAACATCAAATATTTCCGGGTAATTTATTTTGTAAATCTTTGTGTGTGTGTGTGTGTGCTTTTTTTTAATTTTTTTTTACTCGAGTTTGGGTAAACTTAATCCTCCAAAACTTCCACACCATCTTTGTCTACAATTTTCCAAGATGCTCCATCAGTACAACCTCTTTGAAAAAAATAAGTTTTATAGTACGTGCTACACTTTGTTTTTATTATAATTATTTAGTTTGTTTTTGTGTTTCTACTTCTCTCTCTCTCTCTCTCTCTCTCTCTCTCTACTTTTCTCCTCTTAAATCCAGGGTTCTTATGTGAGATCTTTGCTCCCTTTTTCTAACTCTCAAATAAGTTTCTTTGAAAGTCATCATCTCAATTATAGTAGTAATTATAATACATTAAAAAGCAAATGATTATAAATTTTTAACGGAAGACTAAGTTGGCTATCAAATGTGTGCTTCATATGTATATGGTATAAGATTTCTATGATCATTTTATTTCTTATTTATGCAAACTTTTTTTTTTTTTTTTTGAACGGTATTTATGCAAACTTTGTTACAGCAATTTCTAATTTTCTTTCATCAGAATCATGCTTATAGTAAATCACATACATAATGCCAATATAATTCTTATAGATCTGTTAATATTTATCAAAATTTCTTGAAATTTATTACATATATTATATATAAAATCAAAGGAATAAGTGATGCTAGATTTTGCATTGGGTTCTTCATAATTCTAAAATTATATCTTCCTTTATTTTGCTAATGCAGGTTATGTTGGAAAAGTATTAGTAAATGCATGGAGAAAGTGTGCAGATGATATGTAGTATAGGTTTTATTTTGCACAACGACTACTTGTTGGACATGACTTAGTGGAAAGATGGTTTACTCTATTATGGTTGTACATTGGTGGGATGACTAGAAAATTAGCCTTTTGGAACAAAGATGGATGTAATCTTTTGGGAGAAGTCATGTTTAATGTTGACTTGGACTATTAGATGTATATATTTATCTAATCTTTTGGATATAATCACTTGTGTTATGTTAAATATTACACATGTTAAATAGATATTAACTTATTAGCAATTTACCTATTTGTATTTCCAATAAATTAATAAATAATTCTACAAAGATTTATCGCTAAACCATAAATTAGCAACGACTTGTATTGTTGTAAAAAAATATAATGCATTATCACAACAATAAATGTCGTTACAACATACAACTATTTTGAAATGACATTTGTCGTTACCATACACCAAATTAAATAAAGCAACAATATTAGTCGTTGCACTAAAACGTATTTTTATAACGACAAATATCGTTGCAAAAGATTATTCAACATATTGCAACGACAAAAGTTGTTGCCATAATTTCCTTCTAATAGTTTTGGATTTCATAGCTAAGGCAACGACAATGCAACGCTAATAGTCGTTACAAATTATTAATTTTTCACAATGACTTTTGTCGTCACACCGATTTTTAGTGACGGAGGTACCCGCAACGACCTTGCAACGACAATTTTCGTTGCTATAGATTTTTTTTTGCAACGACTTTGTATTTTTTTGCAACGATTTTTTTGTTGCGAAAAATAGGTTTTCTTGTAGTGAATATTATCGCAACAATTGAGGATGACTTTAAGAGAGGTTATTTTAGACGGCATTCGCTAAGATTGTGGAGGTTGTCACGAAGATTTGAGAAGATAGCACGAGACGGGCTGTCTTCGACAGCATTTGCTAAGATTGTAGGGGTTGTCACCAAAATTTGAGAAGATAGCATGAGATGAGCGGTCTTATGGCATTCGCTAAGATTGTGGAGGTTGTCACCAAGATTCGAGAAGATGGCACGACATGGGCGGTCTTCGATGGCATTCGCTAAGATTGTGGAGGTTGTCACCGAGATTTGAGAAGGGCGGTTCGTGGTGAGGCAGTCTTCGGCGACTTTTTGCTATGATTGGGAAGGTTGTCGCTATGATTCAAGAAAAAGAAGCTCTTTGTTCAGAGACGGGTGGGCATATCCAAAAAAAGCTCTATTGTTCAGAGACGAGTGAACATCAAAGCAGCAAGATGGTGTTCCATAGATTGTGGAAAGTTGTCACAACAACAAATCAGTTACCCTTAGAGACGTGTGCTTGACGGTGCAAGATACGTGTTTCTTAACTTTTTTATCTGTTTAACTAATGCTAGTTTGCAGGTTTCGGCGTTACAAGAATGATTTAGGATCGCAAAACGTTCTGAATCATTCTCCGTGCATATCGCTACTTTGACTTTTGTTTTCAAAACCTGTGTTTCTCCAAACTCAGTCAAAGTGGGGGCTTTTGTAGACACCCGTTTGTGTCTCCTAAAACCAAACCCGGTGATGAGTACCTTTCGCGTCGAATCATAATCGAATGAAGTGAACGTGTGGAAAGTCTAGTGTTGCGGATAGTTTTTAATTCTTTTCTTTCTCTCTGTTTTTGAAAACCTATTTTAAGAAAACAGCCAATCCAGTTTGGTTTGGTCCATGGCAAGGGTCCAATAATGGTTGACTTTTTAGAGTTTTACTCAGAATAAAAGAGCGTTTTAAAGGAAAATACGATTTTACCCTTCTGAACGGCTAAATTTTATCAAAATTAAGAAAACGCGTGAAATTAATGACTAGCGCCTGACGACAGGGGATAAGCGCCTGGCGCTAATTGACAGCGTCTGGCGCTAACCCGTTTTATTCTCGTCGAAACTCTGATTTGTTTTTCTATCCGTCCGGCTGATTTTCTCTATAAATAGCCTCCTAAAATCTCCGTTTTCCATCATCAAATATCATCAATTTTTATTCTCTCTAGTTTTTAAGAATTCTTCTTTCTCTCTAGTTTTTTCTCTACAAAATTCCGCATTCACAAGATCTAGAAACACCTAGCCAAATTTGAAGCTGCCTTCGCCCTAGATGTGAAAGGTTTTAATTTCTGAGGGTTGGGTCCCAAATCTCTCTTTCAATTATTTAATTTAATTGTTTGATATTAATTATATTTTCCTTGAAGTTACTAACACGTGTATTTTGTTATTAGAAAGAGGTACGAGGTATCCAAGTAAGTTCTTTAAATGGTTAAATTGATATTATGATATAGAAATCATGCTTAGATTGTTATTTTGATTCCTAGTATCATGTTAGGATGTTTTATTGCTTCTTAGTATCATGATGCATCCTATTTTCTTTCCTAATATTCATGTTAGTATCATGTTAGGGTTAAAACTTTGATCTTTATTGCTTAGTGACATGCTAGGGTTTGTTATTAATCTTGTTAATATCATGCCTAGGATCTTGCTATTAATATTATGCTTTAATATGATTATTATAATTATGATTATAATTATGATTATTGTTGTGTTAAATTATATAATTTTACGTAATTTGTTATTTTACGAATTATTTAATGTTATTTGTTAATTGACGGATAACTTATATATAATTTATTATGATTATGTTGCTTGATATATATTTATTGTTATTGCTTGATCACACCTTTTATGCATGTTTAAAGAGAATTTATACTTGTAATCACGCTTAATAAGATAGTTAATAATCTTGAGGGCTAATTTGATTATAATTCAAGTGATCGCCAATAATAGTTTCTTTGTTCATTAAATTCAACCAATATAGATAAACAGGCTTAGGGTTAATCCTATTGATTGCATGTTAGTCAGAAAGCGCACATGAATACGAACAGAATAAAGTAGAGGTCTATTATTAGGGCAGGTTCAATCTCTTTTAGGTTGGATTTGTACCTTCATCCCCGAACTACCAGTCATGGTTCTAGATCTATTGGAGTTAACGATCTCCTGGATCGTTAAGGGGTGTATCCTTCACCCTGTGAACGGTTTACAAGTTCCTAAAACTTGTTGGCGACTCTTTTTCTCTAGCTTCCTTCCCTTTAGACGCCACCGTACTTTAGTGTATGATCACAGTAGGGTTCAAGTTTGGGATAATGCTTGAAATATTCCCTACAATACCGAAAACCCTTTTTTCATCTATTACTTTGTTAAAGTCAGGCTAAAGTTTCAACGACATATCAAGGGACTTTAGACCAAGATGACACGATTGAGAGGAAATCCTCCCCTTTTATCCTTTTTTAAAATCGATCTCCTCTCATGTCCTGACTTCACCCAGAATACTTTTACTTGTAAGAGCGTTCTACAATTGCAAAGGATCAATCTAGATTCTTTAGCGCGTTAAGACAAGGAAGGAATTTTTCTATCATTAATAGATACTTGTTTCAAACACTTAGCGAACCAAGGAATGTTTCGACATCCTTAAACATTACTAAAAGATTCTCTATCCTTAGAGAACTTCGCAGAATGAGTCTCGAATTGATTTCCTTGGCTACTTTGATCATCATCTATTCTAGACACGATCAAAGTGGGGGCTAACTGTAGACATCTACTTTTGGCCTCCTGTCTCGACGGGAAGTGCAATGACAAAGAATACTTATGGATAACTAGTTAAGCCACAAAACACAAAAGACTAGCCCAAATTAAAGAAAAAGCTAAAACAAAGGTCCAATTAATTAAACCCGATCATAATTAGGCTTAATCCCGTGCTTAAACCCTAATAATGACGGATTTAGGAGCGCCTAGGTTAAAACTTAGTGCTGCCGCAGAAAAAGCCCCGCGCATCTCACAAAGTCACGCTAAACTGCCGCGCGCAACTATTTCAGTTGCGCGCGACACCCAACGCAACTTTCAGAGTTGCGCTGCGGAAGATTTGTAATTATTCAGAAATTATATGGAAAATATAAAATCGAATCTTACCATAAAGCCGCGCGCAAGACTAATAATTGCGCTGCACATAGCAGCGCAACTCTATAACTTGCGCTGGGTTGCTGCGCGCAATTTCAACTGTTGCGCACGACACCTGCTGCGGAAGATTGCTCGAAACCCTAAACCTAATCATTCTCTATAAATACAAGCTTAAATCGAGGCTTCAACAGACATAAATTAACCTAAAACTCTGGCGAAATAACTTGTGAAATTGTGCAACCTAGCCCTCTTGTCCTAAACACTCACCCTTTCGATACTTTGTTACTACGGTGGAGGTTTCCCAACAAGAAGGTGTCCATAAGTGTTCTAAACGAAGATCTAGCAAAGAGAAGTGGTAAATTCCCGAGCACTTAGTTAAATCACCTTTATTTTCTTGTTTAAGAGGACTTTATTTAATTAATTAGTGTTGTTTGATCACCTTTAAAATAATTAATTAATCAATTTCACATAGTATCTTGCGTTAAATAAATACTAGAATTGAATTAAATAATTGTTGGTTGATCACTTAAGCCAAGGCGAATCTTGTTTATTTATTGTTCTTCCACGAATTTAATTAAATAAGAATAACGACTTTACAATGTAATTCCTACGTGAATTAATGTTTGTAGACAAAATCAACTAACATAGTTTTAGGTATCGCGTTGCATATATTGTTTGGTGATGAAATTGTAAAAAAGGAAGAGCTAGTAGAGGCCATACTAGGGCTAGGATGACGATTCCCCTCTAAAAGGAACGTTATCTTATTACCCTCGCTCCTGAACTCATTTCTGGTTTATAGACCAATTTGGGCATGGGTAAACTTATGATTTGTGCTAATTATTCCATGAACTCCACATGGAAGAAAGGCATGAACGAGGTTTATGCGTTTTTCCTAAAACTCGTTGGCGACTCCTACTTGTTTCTTACAAAAAAAGCGTGATGATAGAATCAATTCTAATTCAAGGTCCCCCAAACAGTCAGGAATTCAAATCCTACTACACCCTAACAAGTGTAAAGTCCTAGGCTTTTAAGTGGCCAAGGGAATTTAAGGTGAGTACCCTTTACGATGGGATCACCCTCCTTACACCCATTATATCATAGAACTGCGCAGTACGAGGAGTATGCTCTCCACCAGCTCTAGCTCCAGTCTCTCCAGGAGGAGGAAAACTCAACACAGGTTCCGTCCACCCAAGGTCACCCTGAGGCTGAGGCTGCGGAGGCTGCTACGATGAAGAGCCGACCTCGTACATCCCACACCCTCTAGAGCTGAGGTAGCCTGGCCTACCGGCTCAGCACGTGCGCCCTCAGATGAAGAGC